TCATAAAATTCTTGTCTAACTTGATGTATAAATATATAAAAGGAAGTTGTTCCAATTAATTTGTTGCATGACTATGAACTAAATAACAGCATGTTGTTTCTGCAGCGGGACAAGTTTAGCACAAGAATATGATAGTTGGCTCATCTCTTTCAAGCACTTTGGCAGTGTACCGGGCTTGTGGTCTCAAAAAGTGGTATCCCCTTAAATTTGCTCAATATTGCAGTCACTAACTGGACTGTTGAAAGCAACATTTCACAATAGTGCAAAAAGCGAATATAGTCCCAGAATTGGAATTCCACCTGTAATGCCTTATCTTGTCTGCCAAATAGAACCTTTTTTTCTGCAAATACTCAATGTCATATCTGCTTCCACATCATAACTATACATAAATTCCTATTCATCCGCAATTTAAGCCAATCCGGTAGTAATAGAAAGTTAATTATATTTTACATAATGATTCCTGCTTAATCTGTCTAATTGCCTTATGTTCTGTACATCCACGTCTTTACCTTTTCCTTATGAAACTTTCTCTAGCTTGTTCTATTAATTTAATTTCAGCTTTTAATAATGCGATCTTGAAGATTTTCATGAAAGGTAATGTTCACTATATGAGGTGCATGCTTTTAATGGACTAGTTTTACCGAGCATGGAAATTGGAACTAAACTCGAATATTAGACTGAACGATACTATCTCAGCAACCTTCATCCTGGTGAATACATTGTCGCATTATTTGCTAGATCTTGAGATAATATAAGATTATAGCTGATACTACGGCTGTCATTGTGTAATAGGTGATTCTAACTTATTCAAGATTGATATGTTTTAAACTAGCAAAACGCTCTCGTGTGTAACCTCTACAATAAAGAATACTTGTCTACCTTAGTGAGAAGTAAATCTTGAACATGACTTGAAGCAGAAAGAACAACAAGTACAAGTTCTTTTTTTACCGGTATAATCTGAGCAGGATCTCCTTCAATGCTGGCGATGCACGTTCAAAACACGCCATGCTTCGTGTGTTGGCGTGTGTGTTGATCTTGAAGGTGGAATGAACTTCATGAAGGTATGTAAAACAGGTTATTTTTTACTGATGAGTTGTGGTAGAAGTAGTTCACTTGTTTGAGTAAAATGCAAGTTTTTGCATTTTGTAATCATGGTTAGCAACTTTTGAAGCAATTTACATAAGAAGACAAATGGTGCCCTCCCTTTTGTCTCAGCCAATGTGATCATATCTACCAATACTTGTCTTCAAAGCTCAGGAAACAGATAATAATCATGTTATGATTCTATGTACTGGTTACTGACCTATTATTGATCATTATTGTCTTGGCATCCAAGGGTGTAGCCTAGTGGTCAATAAAGTGGGTGAGAACCATAAGGTCTCGAGTTCAAATCTCAGCAGAGGCAAAACACACTAGGTGATTTCTTCCCATCTATCCAAGGCTTGATGGATAGAGTTACCTGGTACCTGATACCTGTTGCTGATAGGAGGCGGCAGGTATCCCGTGGAATTAGTCTAAGTGCGTGCAAGCTGGCCTGGACACCACGCTTATAAAAAAGAATGATCATTATTGTCTCCACTTCACTTGGAATTGAAACTTGGGTTCTTACATTTGTGCAGTGCAATCAAGATCTCATTATATACTTAAGCTAATGAGCTTTTAGTTCTGCTTAAGGAAGAATAAAAGATGATTTTTTGGACTTATTCTGGTGCTCTGTCCTCTCTCACCAACAATTGAAGTGTCTTTTTTAATATTTGTTTTTTCATTTGTTCGCCACTTTTTCTTTTCATTTTCTTTAGTCGAGGGTCTATCGGAAATAGCCGCTCTGCCCTCCCAGGGTAGAGGTAAGGTTGTATACATCCTAACTTTCTCAGACCTCACTTCTGAGACCTCACGTAAACTTTGTGTGGTTTTAATTACCCCTGACAAGTTTCACCTAATGGAAGTGAGTTCCACACGCTGCCATGTCCGTGTGGCATTTTTTGTTCGAAATAAAATATATCTTTTACCTATTTTAATTCATTAAATTTTTAATCATCTTTTCTGGGTCAAATTTATAAAAACACAAAAAGAAAATGGCTGGAACTCCTTTATTTAAGCTAAGATTTTTCATTTGATGAAAATACTAGAGTTTTAGCTAGATTTTTTTCTCCCAGAATTGGACCAAAAAAGAAAAAATACATATTATTTTGGCGAAAGAAGAAACAAAAAGAAATATGCAGTTGGAACTCCAGTATTTTGGTTAAAACTATTTTTATTCGGTTAAAATATTGGAGTTCAACCAAGTGATTTTTATAGATTTGGTTCGGAAAAAAAAACAAAAAAATACAGAGTTGGAACAAGTAGTTATTGTATCTAAAGAATAAACAACAAGAAATACAAGGTTAAAATGTGCAGTATTTATTAAGAAGAAGCAAGAAGAAATACATACAACAACAACAACTCAGTGAAATCCCACTAATGGGGCAAGAAGAAATACATAATTGGAACAAATAAATCATTTCACATGACTATTTGGTAACCAACGCTTGAAAATACCTTGGAAGCTAATTTTTTTTTTCCTTACTCTCACGCGTTCAAAATATAGTGTATTTACGCTTTTTGCCACATCAACATCATGAGGTAAATGATAAGAAATAGGCAAGTTCAGAGGAATAATTAAAACAACGCAATATTTAAGTAAAATGTGCCATGTTTAGGATAGGTTTTTAGGTATTCTGTTTCTGCCTCAGGAAAAAGGGTTTGCATCAGAATTAATTATAATGTTTAATAAAGCATCTATTGCATTCCATTTACTTATATCTTGAAATGAAATTACAATAATATAAATTTATTCTCATAAACAAATAATAATACATATGTGAAGTTATTTTCCTACTGGGGAAACACATGGGAATCTTTTGGGATCATCACAAACCTTAATTTGATGCTCATCATATAATTGCTTAGTCTCACAATTAAATTCTGGTATTCCTTCTCTACATTTACTTTCTAATTCTGCTTGAGGAGTATTATCTAAGCCTCTTTCCACTAATAAATAGTCAAGACATTCTAAAAAACAACCATATTCTATTGATGGAGGATATATTTTACAATTTACTAATATTGTAAATAATATAAAGAAAAAAATACAAGTATACTCCAAAGTCATCATCTGCTTACAAGCCATCCTTGTATTTATAATTCCTATGGAAATAAGCAATTAAGTAGTGACGTTAGAAGTTTCATAGCATTGTTTTCATAATTTGTATAAACTAAAAACAACAACAACAACAACAACAAAGCAACAGCTCAGTGTAATCCCATAAATGAGATCTTTGGAGAGTAGAATGTACGCAGCCTTACCCCTACCCTGGAAGGCAGAGAGACTGTTTCTGATAGCCCTCGGCTAAGAAAAGATGGAAGAAGCACTAATAGCAAATAATAATCATAGAAGATATTTAGAAAACCAAATCCAAGAATGCAAAAGAGAAGATGACAGAAGTACTGGTAGCAAGTAATAACAATATAAGATATATTGTGATAACAAACTAAGAGAGTACTGATGACAAGTAATAACAATACAAGATATATGGTAATAACAGCCTAAGGATAAAAGGAATACCATACTAATAGTAATATTATTGAACTAAGAAAGACAAAGGGGCAGTTGTGTCTATATAGATTACCACTTTTTTTAATAAATAAATAAAAATAATAATCTTATTGATGATTCTCGGTGGATACAATTTTGTTAGTTTCTTTGATTTTTCAGTATGATTTGAGGGCTTAAGTAGCGTATTTCTCGAATGTAGGATAATGTGAACTTTTTTGGGTTGTATTTGATCTCCATGAAAAGGAAGAATGTCTATAGATCACTTTGGCAGCTTTGAGAAAGACAATATTTAATGTCTTTACATGTGTATTCCGTAAATTTTTGGAATTTCGAGATCATATAGATTGCCACTTCAATGTGGATATTACACGATAACTGATAAAGAATTATAAATTTAAGAAAATCCTCTCAAGTATTTAAAAAATCGCAATTGATGCTTACTTTAATTTTACTCGAAATATAAGATCTTTTTAGTCAAAAATTTGTTAAATTACCCTCTCAAATTATTATACTTGGACCCGAATGTGAGTAATTGACAAACACTTTTGCTATTACATCTCAGTGCAATTATATTGCTTTTCAGAAAGTCTTATTGTGTTAAAAACTAAAATAAGCTCTTCCATTGCGAATTAAAAGACATTTTCAACCTACAATTTCTATGTTTAAAGAGTGGAGATTGTTCAAAATATAGAAGCACAACTATAAAGAAGTAAATTAAAGAGGCACATAACAACAAGAAATGAAACAAAAAAATTAATTAATTAAAGGTGAAGAGAAAAAAATCTTGCTTACCCTTTATTTTGATAGCACAAGAATGTTTGGTTTAAACTGATTTTAGACATAGGGTATAAATAGAGAGAGAAATTAGTAGAATTTAGACATGTACGTTATGAGTAAACAAAAATTTTATTGATGTGAAAGGCTTAAAAAGCTTAAATGTTCAGATTGGTCTCTCTTCACCAATGGATTAAGAATAGATATTAATAAAGTCCCATTAATATGAGAGAGTATTTGTTCACAACTAATTAATGTCAAAGTTACATCCTCTTGCTAAGAACGGGAGAAATGTAACCTTCTTGTGACTGTTAGTCCTAACTCCTACGTATATTACTTTGATGAATATTTATATATATTACTTTGATGAATATTTATAAGTTTTGATATGCCAAATATGAACACGCACTGCAAAGTGTTTCTTTATATACTTGAAATAATTCAAAAAGCAATATCGGGAGAGGAAGAGGGACCTGCATATGGTGTTTATCGATTTAGAAAAAGCTTACGATAAAGTCTCAAGGGAGATTCTAGGGAGATATCTGGAGGTTAGTGGTGTTCCGGTAACGTACATTAGAGTGATTAAGGATATGTACAATGGAGCAAAGACTCAGGTGAGGATTGTGGGAGGAGACTCGGACTATTTTCCTGTGATGATGGGGTTACACTAGGGTTAAGCTCTTAGCCGATTTTTACTTGCCCTGGCAATGGACGTGCAGACACGCCACATTCAGGGGAGGTGCCATGGTGTATGTTATTTGCATATGACATAGTGCTAATCGATGAGACGTGATGTGGGGTTAACGATCGGCTGGAGTTGTGGAGGCAGACCCCGGAGTCTAAAGGTTTCAAGTTGAGTAGGACAAAAGCTGAATACTTGGAGTGCAAGTTCAGTGTGAGGATGCATGAAATAGAAGTGGAGGTGAAGCTTGATTTACATGTCATCCCCAAGAGAGATAGTTTCAAATAACTTGGGTCTATTATTCAAGGCAACGAGGAGATTGACGAGGAAGTTACGCATCGTGTTGGAGCGGGGTGGATGAAATAGAAGCTTGCGTCTGATGTTTTGTATGATAGGAATGTGACACCAAGACTTAAGGGCAAGTTCTACAAAGTGGTAGTTAGGCCGACTATGTTGTATGGAGCCGTGTATTGACCAGTCAAGAAATCTCATGTCTAGAAGATGAAAGTAGCAGAGATGAGGATATTGAAATGGATGTGTGGGCATACCAGGATGGACCGGATTAGGAATAAAGTTATTATGGACAAGGTGAGTGTGACTCCTGTGGAAGACAAATTGCGGGAGTCGAGTCTGAGATGGTTCAGACATGTGAAGAGGAGAGACACCGATGCCCCAGTGAGGAGATGCGAGAGGTTGACCATAGCGGGTCAGAGGAGAGGTAGAGGGAGGCCTAGGAAGTATTGAGGAGAGGTAATTAGGCAGGACATGGCACTACTTTAGCTTAGTGAGGACATGGCCCTCGATATGGAGGTGCAACGGTCAAAAAGAAGAGGAGATCAAGGACCTCCGAGCCGAATTAGCCACAACTCATAAAGAGTAGACCGACATGATTGAGCAGGTAATGAAAATTTTTAGAAGCTCAATGTATCAATTCGGGGACTATAACTAATACTTCGATCCTACAGGTTCAACAGAAGGCCAAAAAGATCGAACAGCTCAGTGAGGAGGCCAACATGATGAGGGAAGAGACTTTGGGGTGGAAACAAAATGCCTAGGAGAAAGATGCTTCTCGAGCACAACTGTCATCGTCTAAACGTCAACTCCAAAGCATGAAAGCGGAAAGCTCAGCCCAAGCCAAGAAAATTGAGGAGCTCGAGGCTCGGTTGGCCGCCGAACTAGCAAAGGTTACATCTGAGGCAGAAAAAGTAAAGGCTAACGAGGAGGCAATCATGGACGTCTACCGAGCTGATGCTGAAGCTACTCAAGCTCGAGCAAAGGAAGTTGTTGATTCCGCTCAGACTCGAGCATACTGGTCTGCCTATCATGTCAAGTACCAGCCTCGAAGAGAGACTCTTGAGGAGATTCATGCTCGTGGCTTTAACCTTGTTGTCGAGATCGAGAATGTGAAAGAGCTCGAGGCCGAAGCTAAAGAGTTGCTCTCTTCCGATGACGATGATTCAGGGACATGAGTGGATCCGAGAGCGGAGGGGATTACAATGGCAAAGGTATATCTCCCGAGGAAAATTAGGCACTTAGAATTATTTTTCTTTTTTGAATTTTTTGTGTAGGATCCTGATCGG